AGCGTACTTAAAACATCGAGTGTAAGTTTAATTCCTCTTTTGAGCCTCGGCGCCAGGCATCCCTTAACGTCGTGACGCGCGGAGACCAACTCTTCTGTCTGCTACGAATAAATCAATATACCAAGAGGTGAGTCTATATTCTTTGTACAGATAACAGCCTGCTTGCTTTGAAAATTGTAGAAGGCGCAGACTTAGGTAAAAATCTTATATTTTGGTTTCGAACACAGAGAAATCTTCGTATTTCTACTCTCTGTTTTATAGAACAATGTTTGCAAAAAAATAGAGAAAATAGCGAACTAGTGTGTGACTTTTAATTGAAAAAGTAGTGGGATATCAAGTGAAAACTCGCTTGTGTTCCTGTTTTTGTTTTGCTTTGTTTTTTTGAATATATACTGATGGCCAAAAAAATGCACTTTGTATATGGTCATTTATTTGGATCAAAAGTATTTTTTTAGAAATCTCTAAGAATATATATGTGATTTTAGATTTTACCTCGTTATCTTTTCGTTAACTGAAGTTTTGTTTTGCAAAAACAACAAAGGTATGAAAGTGTATTTCTGTGAATTAACTTTGGTTTATCAAAATTTTTTAGTCTTTTTTGATTGTTTTTGAACTACCCAAGAATTTAAACACCAAGAGTTCACAGTTGTCGGCAATTTCGCTATTTAAATCGAAAAAGAACGCATTGTAGGCATGAAAGGAGCCGGTTTTGGTTTACGGGAAATTTCACGAAGAGTTGAGACGGTGTTAACAGTTTTGAAGAGGTGGTCCAATAATGAGACTTATCAACGCCATGGAGGGTCTGGACTTCCTAGAATATTACAAGGTCATTATTTACGCCATCTTAGACTTCTTGCTCTCAGAAATACACGGGACAGTGTACATCAAGTAAGAGATGATTTAGTTGCAGCTACAACAGGGTTAATCTCAAGAAGAACAGTTAATAAAAGATTACTTGGAGTAGGACTGAGAGCTCTAGGCTCGACGCCTAGAATGGTGCAGAGCTTGGAAAAACTGGAATGATCAAAGGAATCTTGTCTGCTTTAGTGATAAATCTAGGTTTCGTATAGGTGGCTCTGATGGTCACATAAGGGTAAGACGTTTTCGATGTAAGAGACGAAATAAAATTTGGCTGTTGAACATCATACAGCAAGATAACAAAGCATTATGGTATAGGGTACTATATGTTTGGGAAGCAGCTGCGTAGTTCTTATTAACGGTATTCTGATAGCTTGATGATAAATTGATAAGTACTGTAGCCGGTTTTACATCCCTACCTTCCAACCATTCCAAATGCGATCTTTCAACAGGATAACGTAAGACTTCATATAACCCGTAAAACCTTGGAGTTCACACAAGTGTCTGGTATAGAGACTCCAGAATGGCCATTAAGATCAGCTAATTTGTCATCCATTAAATATGTGTTAGATATGGTAGGTCCAAACCTAAATCCATTGCCAGGTCTTCCAGCAAACTTAGAAGACCTGTGGCAAGCCATAAGAAGAATCTCGATAAGTATTCCGCAATATGATAACTTAGTTCGATCAATGCCCTATAGAGTAACTGATTGTATAGAAAATCAAGGGGGAGCCACTTATTATTAATTTTTTGGCGAAACTAACGTTGCTAATGCAGCTAATTGCTGCTATGAACAACTGCAGAATAGACTCCTGATACAAAATGCTTATACATAATATTTACAAAAAAGCTATAATGAAAATACAAATAGATGCGAAAACCAAAGCTATACCAATCAACAGAGGAGTTCGCTATGGAGATGTTATCTCGTCAAAGCTATTCACACTTGGACTGGAAGACGTGTTCAAAGACATTAACTGGGCAATAAAGCAATAAATGTTAATGGAAAAAAACTGAGATATTTAATATACGCTGATGACATTGTAATATTCGCTACAAGTTTCGAAGAACTATAGACCATGACGACGCAACTATTTTAAGCTTCGGAAAAAGTAGGTCTTAAGATGAACTTGAAAAAAAAAACAAAAATGATGACAAATACACCGAACATTAGAGAAATAAGGTTAAATGACATAAATTTAGAAACAGTAAGCGAATACATCTACCTGGGACCGATAATAAAAGAACAAAGAAAATCAAACTGCCGAAATTACCAGAAGAATAGGTTTTATCATTGGCAGCGTTTGGAAAACTGAGTTGGATCTTGAAAAGCACTGAAATAGAACAATATTTAAAAACCAGAATTTACGATCAGTGTATCCTCCATATACTTACGTATGGCTCACAGACGTGGACACTCACCAAGTCTAACATGGATAAAATAGTAAAAGAATTGAAAAAGACTGTAAGACTTGTATTTATACCCACATATTGGGTTTACTTAAATTTTGTCTTTCACAAGATTTCTTTTCCTTTAACAATATTGTTTATAGACAGGCACAAGAATCGGCAATGAGCAATCCCTTATCACCTTTGCTAGCAGATCTATTTCTGAATAACCTTGAGATTAATATCTTTGACAATCTTTCTCTGAATCAAAAGCTCTTTTCAAAAAGTTTTATATTGGTTCAGATATGTGGAGGATGTGTTAGCTATCATAGATGGAAATTCCTCAGATGCAGACAATATCCTAGTTTCACTTAACAACTTAAATCCAGCTATAAAATTCACCTTAGAAACAGAATCCAGCAATTCTATTAATTTTCTAGACTTAACATTAACTATAATAGATAACAAATTAAATTTTTCAGTCTTTATAAAACCAACTTAGACTGACCATACCATCCCTAGATCTTCTAATCATCCTTTTTAACAGAAAATGGCCTTCTTTTATTGCTATATCCATCGTTTACTTAGCTTAACTCTGTCAGATTCAAATTTTAAATCAGAATTAGAAATTATTAAACAACTTGCTTATAGTAACGGTTATACCCCTACTTTGGTTGATAACATACTCAACAAATTAAGGAATAAAAGGAATAGATCACTAGCATACAACACTGTCCATAACATTTCTAACTCGACAGTTATTTATCGATCAATATCGTACATAGGTTATCCCTCAGATATTATAGCCATAATCTTAAATAACATTCCTAATCTAAAACTTTCTTTCAAAGTTAAAGAAAATATCAAATCTATTTTTTCTCACACTAAAGACAAAATCAACAAATCGTCAAAAAGTGGTATTTATAAATTATCCTGTAGTGAATGCCCGGTGACCAATGTGGATAGAACAATGCGACCTTTGGATATAAGCATTAAAGAACAACTGTCTAAGATTGATAAATCTAGTTTTGGGAATCATATACATGCTTCAAAGCATGGCTTTAGTCCTCATAGAGATAGCAAGATCCTACACAGTATACCCAATAATAATTATATAAAAATGAATTTACTAGAAGATCTTGAAATCAGTAGAGAAATGAAAAGGAATCCTCAGAACTGTGTTAACACTCAAATTAACTTAAATTGTGGGTTTGATCCAATATTTAAGAAGTTTCTTTAATAATACATTTAGTATACAATTAACCATCGATTGATCAAGCTTTGACCTTTATTTTTAAAAGAAATTTTTAAAAAAGAAAGTTTCTTGAATTTTCTTTCATTGATTTCATCTCAGTAGAAAATGTTTGATATTTTTCTTCTTCATTATTTATTTTATTAATAATATTGATAATCAATAATAGCTATTGAACTCTTAACTTAGCAAATGATACTTCTCCTTGGTTCGTTTTCATCTACTTTCTTCTACTTGGTCAAAACTTTAAAAGTTTTGTTTTTTTGATAATTTTGATAAATGTATATTTTAAATTTTCACGTTGACTTATCAATTTAAAATATTTAAATTTAAAATTCTATAGTAACTAAAAGTAATAATCAATAACCTTCAGACGTCAGTTTAGACATTTTCAATTTTCAATTAATAATTTTAAATACAGAGGTCGCTCTCGGATTTATTTCCGTATATCCGAGCTTCCTCCTTCATCTTACTTCAAAAATGTAAGTCAAAAACAGCTGTTGTCGTCGCTGTATGTGGTAACCATGTTTTCTATTTTAAGTATTTGATGTGAATTATACATATGTATAAGGGTTAGACCCAAGATCTGTGGCCTAGAGAGCCCGATCTTTGTTTTTTAATATGTTGTTTGTCCACAATTTTCCTTCTATGAAGTATTTATTGCCTAATTGACGTAAGTTTTTTCTGTCATTGTATTTTATAAAAAATTTACTTAACTTAACGTTATTTTAGGATAGCTCTGATGATGACATTTATTATGTCGAAAGTATACTCAGCTTAATTAATAAATTATTTTACACACTATCAATTTTATTGAAAACATACAAAACCTGCTTACCAGTTAGACCTAAATAGTAAAAGCACAAAGAGTGATGAAAATATTGATTTATGCTCGGGGTGAGACTTATAGACAAAAAACAAACAAATGTATTAGAAGCAAAATACTGAAGAATAAGAGATAGAACCACGAAGTACAACAATGGAGACTATGGTTAGGAAAGAGAAACAGAGGAAGACCACAAATGAGATGGGCGGATGATATTAAGAAGATTGGAGGACACAACTGGAAGCAAGTGGCGCAAAATAGAAGACACTGCTAATTTGTTTATAATATTATCAACTATTTGATATAATTTTTAAAAAATATTTGTCCTTGTAGGTGTTGCATTTTTTTGGCCATCAGTATCTTTTAGACAAAAAAAAAACATTTTTCACTCTCAGAGAGGTAATATTTCGATAGGAAATATTATTTTGAATATCTTCTCTGTAGATGAATACGTACTAAAAGTGTCCAGAATTCATCCAAATGGACCCTAGTGCATGAGAAATAATTCATATCTTTCTTAAAAACGCACACATATAAATGGTAGCACTCCGCAGTTTTTTCATATTTGGGGGACGATTAACCATATAAAACAATAAAATCCCTTTAAGGTTGTAATTTTTTTGCACAATGGTTTTTAACATACTCAATAGCCTATAATAAAGTCTTAATTTTTAGATCCAATGGATTCCAATAGTAATCAGACTCCTAAAACGTGGCAATCTTCATCTATTAAATTGTTATCCTCTGACCAGATAAAAATTCGACCGCCAAGGGTATTTATGCAAGAACAAGGTAAATATTTTCTTGTATATTATACAGTGTGTTTTAAAAATGTACGTCATAAATTAAATCACGCATTCCGGGGACAAAAATAAATTGATTAAATCCAACTTACCTTAGTAGAAAAGTGTACACAAAAAACGTTAGAGCGCTTTAAAGTTGTAATATAAAAATTGTTTTTTTTTGCATTATCTCCTAAACTACTTGAAATTTTGTAATTAAAATGGACACGTTACATTTTTGTTCTGAAAGCATTTTACATACAAAAGAAACAACAAATTCTAAGCAGACAGAAAAATTTTAAAGGGGGGTGTGCAGCCCTAAATCCCCCCAAACTTTTTAGTACGTTCAAACCAAATGAATTTTGTGGCATTATTAGTTAAACACATTATTTGTAAAACTTTTTTGCCTCTTATCACTTTTTTGAAAAACTAGTTTGTTCCCAGTTGGCCATAAAATTACTATAATATTAGTTTCTACGGATACAATAATTACAAACAGTTCCATCAGTAATAGTCAATAATTTGAAGCTATCATTTATTGTGTGTGTAGTAATAGGCCACATGGAAAAGAAGAAGAAGAGGCGTGGCACTATGAAGTTAGAGATAGAGGTTAGGTTAATATAAAAGGATGTAACATGTATATTGTTAATATACATGTTACATGTTATTGTTAATGCCATAAAACGAAAGAAGAAGAAGACATGTATATTGTTAATCTTATAGTTTTATTAAATATAACATTTAATAAATACCGAGTATTATTATTACATGGTGCAGTCAGTACAAGAGCCAAAAGTACAGTTATCCAGAATGGAAGGAAAAGTGCCAGAATCCATGAAATTCGAGGGGAACCTTCATGAAAATTTTAGACGGTTTTACCAAAATTTTGAAATGTATCTTATTGCAACTGAGAAAGATGACAAAGCCGATAGAGGAAAAATTGCTTTGTTTTTAAATATGATTGGACCAGAAGGAGTTGATATATATAACATTCTCAAAATACCAGAACGGAATAAATTTGATAGTGTCATATCAGAATTTAAGAAATATTGTGCTCCCAGAAGAAATAAAACATATGAACGTTTTGTATTTAATAAAAGAATTCAAGCTGCAGATGAACCTTTTGATAGTTATCTTAGTGATCTAAAAAAGTTGATACAAAGTTGTGAATATGACAAACAGGAAGACAGCATATTGACAGATAGGTTAGTTTTAGGAACAAATAGTCCATCAGTTCAAGAAAAATTATTAAATACTCAAAAGTTAACGCTTGAAACAGCAATAGAGATATGCAGAAACTCTGAAATAACAAAAAAGCAGTTAGAATCTGTAAGAAACAATGAAAGTTTGGAAGTAAGTGCAGTAAAAAATAGACAAGACAATAGAAATACACAAAGTAAGTTAAAATTTTTGTGTAGAAAGTGCAAACGTAAACATGTAGCTGCCCAGTGCCCAGCTTTTGGAAAGAATTGCTTTAAATGTGGTGCAGCAAATCACTTTAGTAATGCGTGTTTTGCTGAAATGTCCAATCAGCAAAGATATAAAAGGCAAAATGTTAAAAAAGTTAAAGAAATTAGAAGACATGACGAGAACAAAGGAGTTGGGGCAATCAATAGTAGAAGTCGTAATCAGTGGATTGAGGTAGTCAACATAAACAACCAAGACATTGAGTTCCAGATGGACACTGGATCAGAAGTAAATATATTACCCAGTGATATTTTAAAAGTCGTATTCAGAAACAGTAAGTACAAAATTGAAAAGTGTGATACTACATTAGAAGCTTATGGAGGTACACGTTTGAAAACTTTAGGGAAAATTACTTTAAATTGTAAGAGGCTGGATAGGAATTATAATTTAGAATTTGTAGTTGTAGATTTAAAAGTCCAGCCAATTTTAGGTTTAAAAACATGTTATTCTTTTGACTTAATTAAAAAAACACAGAGTGTAAATGTTGATGATGAACTTACTAATAAGGAACAATTATTACTAGAATATAAAGATGTATTTGAGGGAATGGGCACATTCACAGGTTTTTGTAAAATACAATTAAAAAATGATAGTGTTCCAGTAGCTAGACCAGCGAGAAGAGTACCATTTACTATAAAAAATAAGCTAAAAGAGAAATTAGGTAAATTAGAAAGTAGAAATATTATATCTAAAGTAACAGAAGCATGTGAATGGGTTAATAATATAGTTATAGTTGAGAAGCCAGATGGTTCACTGCGTCTGTGTCTAGACCCTCAAGGCTTAATAAATGTATTGTCAGGGAATATTTTGAAATTCCTAGTTTAGAGGAAATAAGTTCGAAACTGTCAGGAAAAAAATATTTTTCAGTATTAGATTTCAAAGATGGCTTTTATCAAGTTAAATTAGATGAAAAATCTAGTTCCTTAACAACATTTGCAACTCCATTTGGGTGTTACAAATTTCTCAGATTACCATTCGGTCTAAATCTGGCCCCAGAATATTTTCAGAAATTAAATTGTAAAAATTTTGGTGACATTGAAAATGTTATTATATATTTTGATGATCTATTAATTGCATCTGATTCCATGGAGGAGCATGACAAGACACTTAAAATAGTGTTTAATAGAGCTAGGGAAATGGGTGTAAAGTTTAGGAAATCAAAATTTCAGTTTAGACAAATGACAGTGAAATACATGGGACACATTTTTAGTGAAGATTGTATGAAAATAGATAATGATAGATTGAGGCTATAAATGACCTAAAAAACCCGTCAAACAAGAAAGAGCTTCAAAAACTGCTGGGTGTGGTAAATTATGTACGAAAATTTGTTCCAAAATTGGGTGAGATTGCAAGCCCACTGTATCAATTACTGAAAAAGAATGTTATTTTTCAGTGGCTTGGAGTTCACAGTAAAGCACTGGATGTGATAAAACAGGAACTTGCTAAAAATATATCTCTAAAGAATTTTGATTCTAGTAAAGATATTGTAATTCAAACAGATGCGTCTCAGTTTGGTTTAGGATGTTGTCTAATGCAAGGTGGAAGACCTGTTGCTTATGCTTCTAGAGGTTTAACAGGTACTGAGGAAAATTATGCTGTCATAGAGAAAGAGTTATTAGCTGTAGTGTTTGCATGTCAAAAATTCCACAATTATATTTATGGTCGCACTGTAAAATTCATAACAGATCATAAACCTAATGTAAGTATCATGAGTAAGCAAATAAGTCAAATTAGTTCTCGTAGGTTGCAGAGGCTAAAACTGAAGCTACTGAAATATGATATACAAATTCAGTATCTACCTGGTAAATATTTACATACTGCTGATTATTTGTCTAGAAATGTAAGTGATGAAAGTGCAGAGAATGATGCTGATATGAATGAAATGGTGCATTCACTAGAAAAGCATTTAAGAATGAGTGATACTAGAAAGATTCAGTTTAAAGCAGAAACAGTAAAAGATTATGTACTGAGCAAAGTTATTGAGTGTTGTCTGAGAGGGTGGAAGAATACAAAGTATGAAGGAGAGATGAAAGTTTTTCACCAGTTAAGAAATGAGTTGTTTGTTAATGATAATCTTTTATTTTTCAATGATAGAATTGTTGTACCTAAAGTTTTGCGAAAAGAAATGCTTCAAATTGTACATGAAGGTCATTTTGGTATAAATCGTTCAAGAGATCGAGCAAAAGATGTCTTATTTTGGCCAGGGATGAGTGTGGATATTGCGAATGAGATACAGAGTTGCAAAATTTGTGAAAAGTATAGGTATGCAAATAGTAAAGAGCCATTAATATCTCATGATGTCCCGGAATTGCCATTTCAAAAATTGGGTGCTGATATTATGGAACATGGTGGCAAAGCTTATTTGGTTGTTGCTGATTATTTAACGAAGTGGCTAGAAATAATCCCTATAAGAGGTAAACAATCGTCTGATGTTATAAATGCACTCAAGTAGATATTTGCAACACATGGTATACCAGATGTAATTATAGCTGATAATATGCCTTTTGGATCATATGAATGCAAAAAGTTTGCAGATAAATTTGAGTTTAAATTTCAAACTAGTAGCCCCCATTACCCTCGATCGAATGGTTTAGCTGAGAGGTTTGTACAGATATCTAAAAATATTATTAGAAAATCAGATGACATGTGGGTTGCTCTAATGAACTATCGTAATACTCCTGTTACTGATCTCAAGAGGTCACCAGCTCAACTTCTATTTGGCAGAAAACTAAAAACTAAATTACCAGTTGTTGAAAAACAAAATGATAATATCAAAGAAGTTAGGTCAAAATTAGAAGAAAGAAATAATACTTATAAGGAATATTATGATAGACAGACAAGAAATAGGCCCGAATATAAGCAAGGTGAAAATGTGGTATACAAAGATAATAATCAATGGAGTCGGCTGTTATTGTCAATAAACATGAGTCTCCAAGGTCTTATTTAATTGATAATGGTAAAAATGTCTTACGTAGAAACAGCTATCACCTGCGTAGGTCAAAAATTGATCATGATATTAGGCAGACTCAGAATTTAAGTGATGACAATGATAATACACCTAGTTGTAGTAAAACTCAGAGTTCTAGCAGTTCAGAGTGTGATACTGACATGAGCTTGAGACCATCACGTACTATCATACAGCCTGCCAAGTATTCTGATTATATTTTATATTAGTATAATTTACTCTGATTGTATTTTGTATTAGCATAGTTTTTTTTTGTATGATTAAAGTTTGTAAAAAAAAAAAGTGTAAAAGGGGGAGATTTAGTAATAGGCCACATGGAAAAGAAGAAGAAGAGGCGTGGCACTATGAAGTTAGAGATAGAGGTTAGGTTAATATAAGAGGATGTAACATGTATATTGTTAATCTTATAGTTTTATTAAATATAACATTTAATAAATACCGAGTATTATTATTACAGTGTGAATAAGATTAATATTAAAAACTTTGATATTCGAATGACCTTCATATTTCAGGAAATAGCAGATATGCATTTAACTTTGGGTATGTCCAGCTTTCCCAATGGAAAGCTGGATACTAAA